ACGCCGCAGGCGAGACGAGAGGGATTTGGGTAAAAGCAGAAACAACAGGGAAAATCAAAAAATTGGCAAAATAAATGCACGAAAATATAAAATTAAAACATAGAAGACTTACTCATGGTTGCAGTGGAGAGTGGTCGCTGAGAAAAGCTTGAAGCTGAAGGAGTGAAAACGCTGAAGAGCAGGGGAGCGCAGTTTGCAGAGGGAGAAGTTAGGGCACGAGTATGTAAAGATTGCAAAGGTGAGAAAACCTGAAAAATTGGCTAAGCACCGTATTTATAGAGGTACAGATGAATAAGGTGAAGAGTTAAGGGAGATGACCGTTAGATAAAAGAAGATCCAACGGTAGAAAAATTAAAGAGGTACAGATAACGAAGCGGCACAAATCGCGAGGAGGTGCGATGATTAAAGGACTGAACGGAAAGGACACATGGCAGGCGGAAACTACGCTGGTAATAAAAGGGAATGAGAGACAATTTAAGGCGCATCGCGTGGTCGAAGAATGGTGGTGGCCTCGACAGAAGAGATAAGGAGAGGAAACTAGATGTAAGCAGAAGATTGAGAGGATGGTAGAACGAAGAAGACAGCCTGAATTCACTCTTAGATCGAGTCATTTAGACTCGACCAGAGTGGGGGGGACTAGATGATATGGGATATTATATAGTTGAGGAATAGACCGGTTTGCATCATCGGTCGAGCAACCTTGAAGTGGAGAAAACCGGATGGGGAGAAGGATGATCGACCAAAAAGAAGAAGATCGAGCAGAATAGCAGAACTGGTCGAAGATCGACCAGAGGGGAGGAGATCGAGCAGAATAGCATAACTGGTCGAAGATCGACCAGAGGAGAAGAGATCGAGCAGAATAGCAGAACTGGTCGAGGATCGACCAGAAGGGAGAAGATCGAGCACTTAACAGGTGAAGAGCAGTCTAGAGTGTGGCTTGAACGCGAGAAGGCGCGTGGATGACGTTAGAAGATCCCAACGGCCTGCGCAGAAGAATAATCTCCCTCATCTCAGAGGGACACATGGCGAGAATATATTGGTGATGAGTGATAGTGGCGAAAACCGCTCCTGACATCTCTGACACACACACACACACTATGTGTGTACGGACGGGCAGTATGGGCAGGACAACTCACCAAAAGCCGGGCAGTTTCTAGGGCAGGTATCTCACTCCTATATATATGGGAGTGGGTCTTTTCTTGTAGCCTACGATTTATCCATTCTTTACTTTGGAAAATTGAACAAACACATATTGACTTAAGCATCGGAGGCTCTTCACCAGAAAATCCCTCCGGTGTGAGAATTCTGTGCAGGAACGCGGCGTTCTACTGGCGAGGAAGAAGGAGGCAAGCTGATTTCAAGCCGGTCGGAGTGTTTTGCGTTACCAATTATTATTATTATTATTATTATTATTATTATTATTATTATTATTATTATTATTATTATTATTGTTGTTGTTATTATTTAATTACGGATACTCTAGCATTCAAAGCATGTGAGCGTTCTACTTACACGCAACACATCATCAATTAGGCCTCATTTACTAGGGTGGATGGGATTTGACACAATAATCCCATCACCTTTACACATCAGCTTTTTTATCATGTTTACAAAACTTGATACATGTTAAGTATAATCCAATCCAGCATTTACTAGGCATGATAAAATTATACTTGTGTAAATAAAATAACATATCTACCCTTCTTCTCCACACTAATGTCCTGTTCTAATCGAGTTTTGACCTTTTCAGATGATGCACCTCAAATTGGAAAGTATTGAACCCTAGCTCCTTAATACTACACAAGAAAGCTCCTTAGAAATAAGAAAGCACATAGAATATGAACCAAACCAAAAAAAAAAGACTACACCAAAGAACATGGAAAACGAAGAACAAGTAGATAAAGAAGATGAAAAACGAAGAAAACCAACGAGAAAAAATCCGATAAAAGGAACCTAACACTCAAAGGAAACGAGACAGAGCACTCCTAACCAGGGAGACTTTCCTCTAATTTCGCTGATTTCGGGCGCAACTAAAAAAAAAGATAAAGAAAAAGAAAAAAAATGGCTAAAGAAGAGACGAGAAGTCTCTGCACTTTCCTAAATCGCGCATCAGACACTAAAGAAGAAAAAAATGCTAGGGCTTTATTGTGAGCTCAAAATCTCGAGAGAATCGACCTTCGCCTTCACAAATCCGAGCCAAAAATCCGTAATGGGTGATGTAATGAGAAGAGAATTGGAAATTTTGGAGGCCAATTTAGCCGCTCTACCTTGGCCAGAGTGAAGAACTAGGGCTCGTGAATTACATCAAATGGCAGCAAAATCACATTTATATGGCTAAGTTTGTAATTTATTACAAAATAAGAGATATTATAGACATTTTAAGTGGGCATTTGGGGATGAAATGGTCATATTTTTGCTGGGATTAAAATATCAGACCATTTTGATTGGATTAATTAACCTTCCAACTGTGCAATTCAGACTGCCACATAAAGGCCACATGGGTTTAATCATTGTCCCAATTCCTTCTAGTAAACAGAAAATAAGGTGGGTTAAGAGCATCTCCAATGTGTAATGTAGTAAGTGAATTAATTTTGCCGCATGTCAACTAAATAAAGGAGGTGTGAATCCACATCATATGGATATTGAGTCCACAACTATTACACATTCAAAGTGTTTCTCAATGCAAAATGTGAACAACTCCAAAATTGTATGGA